GCCGGGGGTCATGCCTCAGCGCTTCGGGACGCACCGCCGGCTGCGGCCGGCCGAGAGGTAAACCGCGCCGCGCTGAGCGCCGCCCTCAGAGGAGCTGCCGGGAGAGTGGACAGGGTCGGCACTCATGTGAGAGGTAAGAAAGGTGGGACTGAAATGGAGAGGGAACGGAAGAAGGCTTCCGCTCCCGTGTCCGGAGCCTAAATCCCGCTGTTTCTTTCCAGTATTGCGCTGCGGGCTGCCCGCCGGGCCTGAGCCGAGTACTCCCCTTGCTTGTAGGGCTGCCGGTGGAGCCTCGGCGTTCCTCTGTGCTCCGTGGTTTTGCATTACTATTAAATCTTTCAGCCTGGCAGTGCCCCAATCAATAAAACTTTAAAGGGAAAAAAATAGTAATTTGATAATCCTTATTGCTTATTTTATGTGCTTTCCCTTCTCTTAGGATATATCACCAAACACAAATTAGAAACGCTGATCCATCACCTTTCTATGTGTCGATGTTCTGCCTGCCAATGTCCTGCTAGCTCTAGCTGTAAAGGGTAGCGTGAGCCGCGGCAAACCTGGGCAGCAGGTAGGTCCTGGGTCCCATGTGTGTTAGTGCTGGGTGTTTAGCAGCATTTTGTTTTACTGGAACAGGGATTGTTTGCTTGTTTTCCTTTGCTTTGGGACTCAAATTTTTTTTTTTTACCATGACAGTAAAAATAAATATATAAATAAATTTATATATTTTTTTAATATAAATATATACATAGGATAATGACCTGTAAAATGCATGAAGCAGTAGAGGATTCTAAAAACACTGTAGCAGTTAAGCTGATCAGTGGATGAGCAGGCAGTGAGCTGGCAGTATTTCCTTTCATTGTAGTGCTGGGAGAAAGTTGGGGAGAAGAGAGGTTACAGACAGCTAGTAATGCATTGAGAGGTCTTGAGGGTATTCCAAACTCAAGCAGGAAATGTTTGGAGTGAAAAAAGCTTTCCAAGAATGGCAGCAACACAGGCTTGAAAACTACTTTAAAGGTAGGTGAAGGAATTTGTGCTGTATCTTACTTCAGTTTGATTTGCTGATGAAATGACTGTACAACTTGCCCCTGTTCTAAAGCGATGATTTTTAAACTCAACTAGTGGAAATCATTGGCTGTAAGTTTTGAACTGTCGTAATTCAGCTTGAACCTGGAATATATGGGCTTGTTAGTGTAGGCAGGAATCAGTTCAACTTTATTCTGCTAAATTTAGTTGATTAAAGCATCTAGATAGGATTTTAAAGTAGCTTTTAGCTAAATGAATTTAAAGTCTGATTTACTGTGAAGTGATACAGTTTATGTGTGTAGATAACAGGCTATCTGAACCTTTTTGATAGTAGTTTAAGTGAAGGGGGTGTCACAACACATGGGATTTCATATGAGGAGAGAAGGAATGTGAAGAACAATTACTGAGCTATGGGAGAGTAAGTTTGGATACAAGAAAAAGCAATCTGACTTTTTTTTGCTCTGACCTGTGACTTAGAACAGGACATGGTTTGGGATTCCTGGGTTCTGTCAAACGTCATTTCCTAACTGAGCATCCTGATTTGGGGATGATATTTTCTGTCTGCTGCTGACCACAAAAAAGCAAGTCTTTTCTCTGTGCCCCCACATGCTATGATATCCTCTGTGGTTTATCCGCTGAGCTGTCCTCCCAGATGTTTCAAATGCTTTGGATTCAGAGGTTCTGTCCCTATTCCACTTCCCTGTTTTTTTCTTGTGCTTCCTCATGTAGAAAGCTCTACTTCTAGCTGCTCTAGGCAAAAGACTGAAGACCTACCTGCCCATGTGGGCAGAAGGCACTGAAGCCCCTTTTTACCTGTATAACCTTCCACAGGCAGAAGAGAGCTGCCTAGGCTACATGGAAGAAGTTGGTGTAGTGGAAAGGTAATTAGTCTCTATTACACTTCAGTAAGATTGAGTTGCTCGTGCAGAGCCTACTAAAACTGAGCGCTGAGCACTATTACATTTTAGTTGACATTTACATATAAGGGAGGCTTTAAGGTTTTCCTATGCCAAATGTGAAACACAGTCTGGTAGCAAGATATGACTGGGAGTGTATGGATATTCCACAGCTCTGGTTTGGGTGTCAGGCTTGTAACAGAGGAACACCTCCCTGCTACAGCCAGAGGAGAACGAGCCCTTGGACTGCAGATGAAGGAATGTGTGTGAACCACTGTGTTCTCTCCACCGAGAGTTGTAGTAAGTTACTGCAGGGACTTTTCCCACCTACAATGGAGAGAAGCAAAGATCTGAATGTGGAAGATGTTTGAAAGAAAAGAAGAACTTGGGGACCTCTTGAGGTCATCTAGCCTGGTTTTCTGCTCAGAGCAGGGCTAACTTCAAATTTAGGCTGGGTTCTTCAGAGCTTCTGCAAAATCTGGTCTTTGTTGTAGTCTTGTGTTTGGAGGAGGAAGTAAGTTTCAAGTTTATTTAAAAGGAAACTCCTCTTCTGCAGAGAATTCAGGATTTCCAAACAGCTGTTGGATGAAATCTTTGTTGTATTGGAGATTCAAGTGTTACTAGCGTTTGCTTTCTATTTCCAGGCAGAGAGACTGTTGGTTCCAGCAACATGGAGCATGATGTCAGCTTGAAGTTCCGTCAGCAGCTTCTGCTCATTGATGAAAATCTGGTGGCCGAAGATTTAGCAGCTTTAAAATTTCTCTGTACTGACTTGCTCCCCTTCAGAAAACTAGAAAGTGCAAAGTCAGCAGTGGACATCTTTCAGCTTCTCATAGCTGCAGAATATCTGAATGAGGAAGATACTTTCCTGGTAGCTGAACTCTTATACAGAATGAAATGTCACTCCTTGCTCAAGAAACTTGGTTATACCAAGGAGAAAGTGCAAGAATGTCTGCCTAAGAAGGGAAGAGTGTCTCCATATAGGTCAGCTTGCAGCAAGATTCTATTCTCTCCATTATTGCCATTTATGCAATACTGTTTCCCTTTTCATTTTTAAATTCTCAGATTGCTTTTAGTTTGTACATGGTCTTCTGTTCTGCTTTTATCTCACTGGATTTCTGTTACAGGCAGATGCTGTATGAATTGTCAGAGAACATTACCAATGAGATGTTGAAGGATATCATATTCCTCCTGCAAAACCATCTTCCAAAGCGACGGATAATAGTTGTATGTGAGGAGAGAGCCAAATTGGTGGGAAGAAGGAGGGGGGGAAATAGGAGGAAAAGCATGAAAAATATTTGGCAGAATAGGGCATAATCTGCAACTAGGCTGGTCGGTATTTATAGGGTTAGCAAGGAGGAAGGTGTTGACAGGTAAGCATGGAATTTGATGCTTTATGCCCGGGTCAGTCTCTGACAGTCCACAGTCTTGCATTAGATCATAAAAGGGTGACAGATCAAATCTTCTTGCATGAGCCATGTGCAAAGGAGATTCATGTCCCTATGTTGTTGGTACCATTTCACAGCAGTAAAGCCTTCTCAAAGCCAAGAGTCATTAATATGGTTTTGGTGAATCTGTTTAAACAAGACCATACCAAATAATAACACAACCAGTAGCTTTCCATAGAGCAACACTTCCATCCCCCCACAGTGATGCAAAATTGACTATTTGGAACTTATTGGTAGGAAGCAAAGCGGGTAAGTTTTGAGTTCTATGATACGATAACTATATTTTACTCTTTCCTTTTGACTGTCAGTCTGCTCTGGAATTGCTGATTATATTGGAAAAAAAGGGCCTTTTAACTGAAAACAATGTACAGATGCTGGAGGAAGTCTGTATGAATGTTTCACCTGATCTTCTAGAAACAGTAAACAGCTACAAAAGGGGAAAAGGTGAGAAATTCAGAGTCAGGGGGTAGGTTTGCTAAAATGCTGGAAGCACTAGAAGGGTCTCTGCAACTGAACCTCAAGGTCCTATGTGTGCATTGCTGGAACAGGAGCTGGAGTGGGATTGCTCATCTTCACACACAAATTCGGCATAACAGTCCCTAGCTTGTATTACTTCCTAGCTGAATTCAAGAAGGGATGTGCTGGAATATCTGAGGCCACACAGAGCAGTCCAGCACATACAGAACAGGCTGGGAAACCAAAAACCTATTTATAGTTATGTCGCACTTCTCCATTTCCCCATGAATATTATTGAGATGATGATGACTCCTGTAAAAGGCACTTTGTGATGTATGAATGTACGCTACAACAAGGCAGTTGACTGCTAATAAGCTGGCGAGGCAAACTCTGTGAATATGTCTGATATGTGGTAGGCTTTGTTATTAAATGTGTGATTCACATTACTAGGGGTTATACTGCAGTTTGTAATATTCCTTCATTTAACGTCCTGTGGAGTGACTGTAAGCATACTGGGGAAAAAGTTCTATATCCATTTATTTAAGCACTGGAGAAAAAAAATTCTGGGAAGTACAAAGCTATGTCTCCCCAGTAGGTGCAAGGGCACTCAGCGATTCATGAGTTCCATTCCCCCATGCTTTGTTAGTGTGTTTCAAAGGTGCCTTCTATTTTAATACAACTTTCAGTAAGCATAGATCTGCATTTGCCTAATGTGCAGATTCATATTGGTTTAACTAAAAGGCACTTAGCTTCTCTCATTTTGGTCTCTTTCTGTTCTTAGTATGTCTGCCTCAGCAGGAGAATACTCTGCCAGTCAAGGAATCTTCAGTGTCTCACACCAGAGGCATCAGAGTATTCACTTCCCCTCAGGTACACTGGAGTATGTACTGCTAGCTTGGGTCTTAATGGTTTGGGGGTTGGAGTTTTTTCTTGCCTCTGTTTTGAAACTGTACTGGCTGTGAGATTTTTTGCTAAATCTTCTTACTTGGTTTAGGACGGGAACAAGCATATTTGTTCAGCACGTAAGAAACACAGCTGCATATAGTATCAAATAGTGGAAGTCAAAAATACTACTATAATTGCTATGGGATGATGTTGGGACCTTTATTTTGTTTATAGTGACTGCCTATCCCTATAGTAAGAGGATCATTTGGAAGGGAAAAAAAAAAAACTTTGCTGTTTCCCTTTATCCTTAAGAGATAATATAGTTGTTTCTAGCTCCGTGAGATTTGCTGTAAGTGGGGAATTTTTTTGTAATTTCATTATTAAATGCTTTGCTGCTGTTAGAAATTCAGTATTGTCCATACTCACTACTTAAAGAGCTTTGTATTAAGGCTATTTTGCTAAAATCACTATAAAAACTTATATATAATAATGATTTTTAACTTGGTATTCCCCTAATTCAAAAAATAGGAGACCTCAATCAAATCTGTTGGTTCTAATGTCAAGGGTAAGAATTTCTGAAAATATGTTTGGTTTTTATTACCTTTACGTTTAATGTTGCGTTCCTTTACTTTCTCTGGGAAATTTCTAGCGTTTGGTTTAATGCAACACACTTAACCTTGCTGTCTTCTTGGAAGGGTCTTTTGCTTTCTGCACAAATAGATTTGACGGATTTCTGTTCTTATATAAAAGAGGCAAGAGAAAATTGGCAAATCCTGTGTACATGGTCAGTCATTGACTAGAAACTAACTAATAAGGCTTGTCTGATTAGAAACAAAAAGATTAATTCTTTCCTGAAAACAAAACCCCAAGTTTTCTGTTTAAATATCCCTGTAAGGACAAGAGAATGGGACACTCTGTTTAAAAAACTGAAATGTTAATTTTTTGGGTGCAGGATTTTACCTCTAACTTCATTTGCTGTATAGATCATTATGTTGAGTAGAGTAGAGATGGATGTTTTGAATGCATTAAATAGTGTGTGATCAGTGCAAAAAGAGACAAGTGTTTTAGGGAGAAGTAAATAAAGCAGCAATAAATAAAGTTACATTTTAGATCAGATCTCTGAAAAGATTTGGTACAAATAAAAGTGGGTAGTTTGCATCCATCTTTGTGACTCCATGTTAAATTGACCAGTTGCAAAGTATAGCAGCACACCACCTGTCAGCTCTTTTCTGCTTTCAAGCTCTGTCAATGCCACCTTGCTCTGAAAGTCAGTCTCGGAGTTATTGTCAGCAATTCAGGAACAACAACAAAAAAATCTGTAATGGGAGCTTCAGTAGTAACATTGCAGATCCTTCTTACAATACAGTTTCTTTCTAAGCTGATGTCCAAATGAAAAATTTATTTGAATGTCTCAGAATCTATCTTTGTACCATAGATATCTTTGTTCCACAATACCAATACAAATAGAAACCTTGCCTTTGTCACAAAAATATATAATATTTAATTTTAAAAAATAATAAATAACTGGAGATGTTCAGAATAGATCCTTTGAACATGATTATGCTATCTCATACAGAGGAATTACTCCTTTCAATGAAACAGTATTTCAAATACAAAAAGTGCTGTGTTGTAGCTAAAATCCTTTTGCTACATCCACCAATACTGGATTTCTCTTCATAAATATCTATGCTGGGTTTTTTTCATAGATAGCAAAGCAGTTAATCTTACACAAGGCTTCGCTGAAATGAACCTGGAGCTGCCTGGGAAATTCAACGATGTAGAAAATGAATCCAAGGTTTGAGACAATCTCTTAAATCCTTCTTTTTGGATAGCTGGGTGTGTGAGGTCTTCATCCCTGTAATGACATTTATCATGCAAGGACATGTGAGATGTCTGTGTGTCTCATGAAGGTTTTTTTGAGTGGTCTGATGAACTGGGACATTTCTGAGAATATTTTAATGTTGGAGGTCAGAAACTTAGCAGTATTGAAAGGTGTGGTGGAGGCAAAACAGGCATAAGACTTTTGATGTTATCCACACATCACTGCATCTGCTTGTCTTCCTGATACAGGCAAAACATTTGGCATTTTCTGAAGTTGTGCATTTTGGAGACGGCAGCAGTATGTGCAAGACAACAGAGACAAATGTAGCTTCACAGTTCTCTCTTTCTGGATCTGGTTTAGAAAAAGCTTTAGGGCATCTTGAAATTAAAAGTGGTAAGGGGTAGCATGCAAAAACCTTGTGAGAAGGGTAAAAGAAGGCAAGAGTTTTTAGTAAGCTATTGCAGGCATGTAACGATCTTCCTCACTAAACCAGAGGTCTTGGTACAGGAGAAAAGATCACTTTTGTGAGATTACTTCTTAGGAGCCCTATGTGCACTCTTTAACTTTGTACAGCAGTGTAACCACTGAATTCTCCCTCTGGCTTTTTCCTTCTGATGAGCATGGATATTGAGGGAGCAAGTTGTTAATTTGTTTATAGCTATTTAATTTCTTGAAGTTCTGTGCAATAACATACCTTTTCATCAGCTGATGTTCAGACTGCTGTAGCAAAAGTACTTCTTGCTGCTGTTGAAGAAACTTGGAATGCTGCCTTCATTGTGTTCTACTAAAATGCGCAAAAGCAGGTGTTTGTTCTTCTCTGGTGAACAGAAAGGAACTGGAGTGGAGGGAGTTTTTTATTTCAACCCAGGGTTAGACTTGAAGAGATGGTACTTGGAAGTTTTGGTGACTTTTCAGTTTTTAAAACATTCTTTCTTAAGAGTGGGAGGTAACTTTTAAGTCTTAGCAAAACTGGTAGTGTGGCAGGTTTATGCACTTCTGAGATGTCTGATCTGCTTGCATCCCTTTCCAGTGGATCAGTATGAACTACCTGCTCCAGGTATTTATCAGTACTCTTGAAAAAAAAAAATCTCAGATGTCTAACATCCTATAGTTTCACAGTGAACCCTCTGCCGTCTGAAGTTAAAATCTTATTATGACATTAGAAACAGTTGGGGACTTCTATCCCCATCACCAATTCAGATTGCAGAGTTTGGCTGCTGAATCCTCCCTTTTGCATACAGCTGCTAACTTTCTCTCTACAGTTTGATAGTATGGTGACAGAGTGTGCTTGAGGCTTCACCCATGTCTTTCTCACAAGGAGGCATCACTGAGTACCAGCTTTTCAGAAGTAACCCACAGTCTTAGGTGCCTCTAATTCTTGGATGCCAATTTTGAGACATGTTGAGGAAATATGAGTAAGTTGAATAAATTCATTGAGGCTGTAAGCTTTTTTCCTCTCCTTTCTACAGAAGATGACAAGCTACAAAATGGATAGACCGCACAGAGGATTTTGTCTTGTTATTAATAATGTTAAATTCGATAGGTCTCTTCAGGAGAGGAAGGGTTCTTGCAAAGATGCTGGTAAGTTACTGAAGTGAGATTTTTGGAGGATTAGTCTCTGTCTTTCCCCATATGAGTTGATTGTCTAGTATTGCTCTATACTTTATTGTCTGTCTTTTAGTTAATATTCTTAACGAGTAAAATGTTTGGTATGTGTTAAATTATGTCATTTGGGTATCCTTGGGGAGGAAGGGTTAAAGGTTGAGTAACCACCAAGTTTCTGATGCAGTTGGATCATTCTTGAATCATTTTAAGAACCTCTTTTTACTTAGCCTTTATCTATAGCTATAATAAAGAACTTAAACTAAACTAAACCATCATTCTACAAAATGCAAAATTCCATAATCAGGCAACTCTGTGCATACTTCTTATTTTATTCTGTTAATTCTATTTGTCTCTTCTGTATGAAACTCTAATAGTCAAAACTGCAGCTGGAAAATAATGATGTGAGGAACGTTTTGAAAGATCTAATCTGAAACTCGTGGGGGAGGCCCTCATATTTTCAGGTGTCATTTGTGAGTTCACTTAGTGTGTCATTATACATTGTAAAATGTCATTGTATTTTCTGAAACTTGTCTGGAAAAATCCAGGAACTCTGTGTTTGAGCTGATGCCATCTTTTTTAATTTGAGTTAACCTTTAGTTGATACTAGCATAAGGATGATTCTGCAAAAGTGTCAGGGTGTAAGTTCTTTCCTGGTTCAGATTAGCTTGCATGGTGACTTCATAAAATGGTTTTCTACTGCCTCAATTTTTCCTTTTATGTTTCTTAAAATTACAGGCGAACTGGAGCGAGTATTCACTTGGCTTGGTCTGGATGTGAGGACGTACACAGATCTGACGTCTCAGGAGATTAAAAATCTCATGCAAACTTGGCAGCGTTTGCAAGATCACAAAGACAGGGACTGTTTTATATGTTGTATCCTATCTCATGGAGAGTCAGGAGCGATCTATGGGAAAGATGAGGAACTTGTATCAATCCGCACAATCATGTCCCACTTCACTGCCAAACAATGTCCACAGCTGGCTGAAAAACCCAAACTCTTCTTTATCCAAGCATGCCAGGGTAAAGAGATACAGTGTCCTGTCTATGTTGAAGCTGATGCACGGATTCCTGACTTGTCTTACATGCAACGGAGTGTTTCTCCTTCTGAAAGTATTCCTGAAGAGGCTGATTTCCTCTTAGGCATGGCCACAATTGATGGATATGTCTCTTTCCGGCACATTCAACAGGGTGCTTGGTATATCCAGGCCCTGTGCAGCAAGCTACAGTTGTTGGTACCAAGGTAAATACTTTGCTTAGCCCTTCCATGAAAAAATGGGAGGAACTTCCCCCTTTTTTTTTCTCCAAAGGCAAATTTATATAGGGACACTAACCCATGTTCTGAGGTGGACAAGATTAGTTAAAACTGATGATTTGTTTGCTTGCCACTGATAAATTTACATTAATGCTGCTAGTACCATAGAGATAATATGGAGAATGTGAAGTTTATTGTAAAAAACCCTCAAAACCTCCCATCTGTATTCTTTAAAGCAGAACCATCTGTTTCTTGAGTGGATTTAGGTAAAAATACTTTATTCCACTATTTTTCTTTACCAGTTGAATCAAGCAAGACAGAGTAAGAAAAGGTCTTTTGTTTTTAATATGACTCAAATGAGAATAAAAGAGGAGAAATATGGAGAAAATAATGTCTTTTCTTTTTTGTGTTTTAAATGTTTATACTGTATCTTCTGGATGATCTCGGAGGTGTTAAATGGAGTGCCATCTGCTCATTAATAAGTAATTTTTTAAATTTTTGCTCTCCTTCTGTCTGTAGGGGTGAAGATATTTTGTCAATTCTTACAGAAGTTAATGAAGATGTGAGCAGACGTGTTGACCGCTTGGGGACAAAGAAGCAGATGCCCCAACCAGCATATACTTTAAGAAGAAAATTTATATTCCCAATACCTAGAGACCCTCCTCCTTCACAGCAACACTGAGGCTTTTAAAATACATCTTTTTATCAGTACATCTCATTTAAATGCTGTTCACCACACTACCTGTTTTAAGGCAGTTATCCAGAACCCTGAGGAACTGTTAGCTTCAAGGCAAGGCCTCATAAATTTTTTTGCCAAGCAAACTGTGAAACTGGAGAGGCACAATTAAAACAATCCATGTGCAAGCTATTTACATCATCTTTACATTTACATTAAACATTTACATCAGGGTTGTGAGAAGCATGCTTCTATCATGTTAAACGTTTTTGAACCTGCACAGACTGCAGGTATAAAAGCATTTTCCTGACAGCATAAGGGTTGCATGTAGCCTTCCATATCTAAACCAGGATTGTTAATGGTCTGGTTTAGGCTTACTGTGTTTTATTTTGCAGGCTAACAATTCTAAGTCCTGCCTCTGAATCCACATAGAGAAAGACAAAGGTGGGAATGAAGAGGAGAAAGCTTAAGTAGTAAGTGGAAAAGGATTTCTTCCATCTCTAATTTAAATTACATTTAACCAGTTAACTACAGAAATCAGTAATTTGTTCCACAATGTACACTGATACCAACTAATGGCTAACATAAACCTCATGTGCAATGAGATCTTTCCAAAACAGAGTAAAGCCAAAATGCTGTATAGTATTCCCTCTGTGAAACCTTGTGAACTGTCATTTCCCTATCACTTCTGGGAAGAAAAGTTAGGGTAGATGATTTTCACACTATGAAATATGGCATTCAGTAGTATAGGTATAGGTTTATCAGATTGGTTAACTTTGTTAAGCATTAAATTTTCTGATTATCATTTCTTGTTTTAAGGTCTAAAATGCAGTTATATAGGAAACAAAGCTCCTTGTTAATTAAGCTTCTAACAGCATTTTGTGAGTTAACTGAAATGATGTCGTGTTGTTTTGTTATGAGCATTTACTATGTATGTCTTTGTCCTTCCTGTTTGTTACTGCATTAAATTCGTACTTCTTTTTAAGAGCTTGGTGAGATAAAATTATGTACTGGGGTAAGGCTTATCCTTTCTGACTGGTCCCTGCACTTTGCTGCCTCAGGGTTTAAGCTGAAGTGAAACTTAGTTTATTTCAGCAGAACACTGATTGTTATATATGATTACTAGCCATAAGTTAGGGTAAAGATTTGAAAGAGTCTGTCTAGCGCTGTTGGATGCAATTTTTAGTTTGCACTATCTAGGATTTTTAGGAAGGGAGTTTTGCATCATACAGAGCATTGAAATGCAGCCTGTTTGCCAAAACATAATGGTCACTTTTTATCATGATGAATTGAGAGTTGTGTGACCCATCACATTTTTAGTCTTCTAAGTTAGTACAGCTGCCACACTTGAAGTCATATCTGTGCCAGAGATAGAAAATCTTTTATCTGTTAGTAACATACTGTAATAGAATCATGAAGTTTCAGGCTCGCAGTTACTGTTCAGGCTTGGTGTACTCTTGGGTTTTATGTTTAGGTAACAATTGCATTTTCATCAGTATGGAGTAAACACTGACAACAATTTCGACGTTTTGCAGGATCTTGTTTTCATTTTTAAGTTCGGTAGACAAAGAACATCATCATGTTATCTTGCTTTCTCTGTAGAGACTTCTGCCTGGGTAATCTCCAGTTAAATCACAGATAGGTAAAGGCAGTCAGAAGAGTCTAAGCTGACTTCTGCCTTGAGTTCCCTGGGGAGAGTGATCCACACTTGTGAAATATAAAAGACTGGTACAAAGTCTCCCTCGTTCATAAGAAGGTTTGTTCAAACACAGTTTACGCTACCATGATTTATACTATTCAGTGTGAATATTTTGCTTGTGTGTATTGAAGGCTGTGTTTATATGGCTGCACATTTCTCATGGTTTAGCTGCAGCTGGCAACTAAGCACCACATGGCCTTTCACTCACCCTCCCCTCCCAGGTGGGATGGGGGAGAGAATCAGAAGAGCAAAAGTAAGAAAACTCATGGATTGAGGTAAGAACAGTTTCATAATTGAAATAATAATAGTAATAATAGTAATGATGATGTAATGAAAAGGGAAACAGAGAGAAAAACAAAACCTGGAAATAAAAACAAGTGACACAACAACTCATCACCCACCAACTAACACCCTGCCACTCCCTGAGTAGCAATCACTGCCCCCCAGCCAACTCCCTCCAGTTTATATACTGAGCATGACATCATATGATATGGAAGACCCCTTTGGCCAGTTTGGGTTAGCTGTCCTGGCTGTGCCCCCTCCAGCTTCTTGTGCACCTGGCAGAGCAGGGGAAGCTGAAAAGTCCTTGACCAGTGTAAGCACTGCTTAGCAACAACTAAAACATCAGTGTGTTATCAACGTTCTTCTCATACTAAACCCAAAACACAGCGCTACGCCAGCTACTAGGAAGAAAATGAACTATCCCAGCCAAAACCAGAACATTGTAATACTTGGGTGCGTGCAGTGGTACTCTCAGCACAACCCCAAAGGCAGGGTAGGCTTAGCACTATAACGCAGTTGCCATTCAGCAAGATTGTTGGACATTTCTCCTGCAGTGTAATGTAAGATAGCAGTTTGAAAGTCTTGGGGGAGAACAGGTAGTTTTCATACAACTTAGATATTTATCACTCCTTGCTGTCCTCACTGTACACCTTCAGTGTAACTCCAGTAATACAGAGCTGTGCCAGAAAAAAATCAGTCCAAACCAAACAAACAAACAAAATGTGATTGGTTTCTGTTAAGGCTTAGTGATGGCATACAGACGCATATGCACATGTGCATGCTCTCCACCTACAGAATTAAAGTAGGGCTGTGTGGTCCTCAAAGTAAAGAATCACAACAAGGTAACATCAGAATGACAATGTGCTAATGTAAATCGCCTCCTGACTAGGGGGATGGGGGAGAAAGAAGTAGGATTGCCTGAAAGGAAACTAGGACTAATTAGCATGATAAAAATCACACCTCTGGAAGGGGACCTTACATGCTAATGTCCGCCTGCCTCTGTATAATGAACTAACCACTGATTGGAACATGCTCAGAAGAGCATCAGTTACCTAATCGGAAGTTGACCAATGAATGAATATTGTGCAACTTCCTCTGTTGTAACCTGTATAAAAGCGCACAGCTTCTCCAAAGAGGGGTGCTAGCTTTACAAACTATTGCCTGGGACCCCTTTCTGTACGGAAAGGTTAGAAGGTGGATCTCGATTCTGTGTGCTCACTGGCTCCTGCACACTGGGCATGGACCTAAGCCCCAATTGAGGGACAACAGTTGTGACTTGTGCAACCCTTGTTTAGATAGCTTTAAGTGCAACTAGTGTAAAAAGAGCCTTTCTGTTGGAAAGTTGGCATCCTGGGAAGACTATGATCTTGAAGTGGGATTTGTAATGTCTGCAAGTCTCTTGTATCCTGTCAGTTTTTGTGCAGGAGCTGTGTATCCTGCCTTGTGCCAGTAGAGGACACAGTCACTATGGTTGCTGAGTAATCAGTAGCCTCCCCGTTTTCACTTCCTCAAGACCAGCCTTTCTGGGAGAGATGAATTTTTGGCAGACTGTTGCACAAGGAATAGATTGGGTCACTGAGACAGTTCTAAAGGAAGCGGGAGGGACAAAACCAGGGTGCCAGGGAGCTGAGGGAAATGGGAGAGGCTGTAAGCTAACAAAAGGACAGCAACATGTTGGGGAAGGGCAAGAGAGGACGAAATAAAAAGTGAAACAGTAAAGACAAAGAGGAAGAACAGTGCCAGGAGGGCTGGTCCTTGAAACTGCTGCATGATGGGAGAAGCCTCTATGTGAAAAGGCAAACCTGGGCTTGACTGGAGTCTTCATTCAGTTAAGACACAGAGGAACTGATGCAGGGAGACAGACACTGAGGCATGAGATGACACGGAGACACAACCATTTTGGACCTGAAGATTGTGGTGTCCCTCTGTGCTACTCTCAGCCTTTGGATAAAAGGACAACTTGCGCCAGTGAAATAAGTCAGACGCGTTTTCTGAACTGTTACTAGCGTGTGCCTTTTGGAAGGAATTTGTATGCCTCATTCTGTTGAAGGGTATGTTATAATTTTGAGTTTATAAGGGTAGATAGGTTGCAATCAATGAATGATTGTTTTAATTGCAAAATTTTAACAAATTTTGGCTCTCCTAATTGGCTCTCTTCATAATGCTGACTTCACAAGCTTCCGAGAGTCTGGTAGCTGTACTGATTGCTGATCATGTATTTCCTGCTGCAAGGAAGATACTGGTGACCAGCAGACCATACTGGGAACCTTACCATTGAAGGCAGAGAGTTCTGTACTTTAAAGAGGGTAAAAATGCCAGAAGTTAATTATTGCTTCAATTATCTTGTAAATGGGGAAGTAGATTACATAAATAATTTCAAAGGAATGTTTAGCCTTTCGGTTCCCTGTGTTCACTGAGTGCTGCTACTGAATTCGGTGCTGATAACTGACTTTTTTTTAATTTAGGAAATAATCTTCCATGAAAGTGCATGTTAAAAATAGGTTAGGGTCAGTTGGAGAGGAACTTCAGAGAAAGGAGGTAAATCACGGAGGATCTGGTGATACAGCAGGACAGGGGGACTGAGATTTCTAAATGGGAAGATATAATTGATTCACCCTTCCCTTACTGTCTTTTAATCAGGATTTATGTATGGGAGCAAATACACTGAGCTGTTCTGTATGCTAGAAAGTCCTGGCTATGCTGCTTAGTGTGTCCCCTTAAACCAAAAGGAAAACCTGGTTACTTTTGTGGCTTGTTTACCGATTTTTCTCACAAACACTGTAATGATTAATTTTCTGAAACTGGAACGATGCATGATAGGTGGACTAGAGAACGCTGCATTAGGACCACAGCTTATTACTTTGTTATACTTTTCATAAGTCATGTGACCATACAGACCATAGTACAAAAGGCAGGACTTTTCCTGGAACTTTAGAGGCCGTGGCTGTCTCACTTTTTTCAGAGTTGTTCCACCAGTCCTCCAGCCTGTCCTCCCATGTAAGCGACATAAAATTAGTATTGTTATTGTTGTTATTATTATCATTAAACAGTTTGCATGTTGTATTGGTTGCATATTTAGTAAAGTGGGAGAAAAAGACAGAAGCAGTTAAACATTGTTTTAGTGTGCTCCCTGTATTTACAAACAGGCTTAAATATAGTGTGTAGGTGGCAGGTCTATTCTAATTGCAATAATTTTGTAGGTTTGAAACTTACAGCCTTTGAGAAATAAAAATTAATATTTCCTTTACCAGATAGATTTACTTTTATAAGCACATGCCTTGTACCTTAAAAAACATTTATATGAGAAAGAAGATAACTTCATAACTAGCTACCAAGAAAGTATTCTTCTCTTTCCCGTGTGGATATGAAAATATACAGTCAGATCTGAGATCATTGAATCATGAGGTTAAGCACATATGATTTATTCAGATACTAGTGGTTTTGTGGTGATACGGGCTGAGTGGTGTGGATTCTAATCTGTTTAAAAGTTCCGTTTGAATGGATTTGACGAAAACAGTATTTGAGGGCAGAGCATGAATCGTATTTGCTGCATCACCGTGTATGTTTTGCTGTTTTATCAGTTTTTTTGAGAGACAAAGGTTTAAGATTCAGTTGTATGTTCACTCTTGCTAACTAACAGACTGCTGACCAAGGGTACGCCACAAAAAGCTGCTTTGCTGTAGAGTGGTCCTTGGAGGAAAGGGGAGCACGATTCTCTGCTAATTATTTTTTTTAATATTTACGGTAGTACTGATTGAGTTAGTCAGCTGGGCTACTTTGGAGTTACTAGCCCTGGTATTGCAACATTTGCAGTAGCAGTAACCTTAAAATGGATTGCCTAATACTCCGTAGTGTAGGAATAGGAAGTTTTGATTTGCTGTTGTCAACTTTTCTGTCTCCCAGTGAATCCAGTGGGACAAGAGACCTCTACTGAATGCATTTCTTCTAGAGTTTCTCTTCAGAGATTCCTAAGTGTCTTAGATCTAAGGCAGAGAGAGTAAAGAGACAAATGGTTCTCTTACCAGAGAGGCAGTGGAGGCAGGTCTTTAAGTGTCAGGGTGAGATAATTGGAAGATTTGCACTTGGTATTTTCTTACTTTTTCTTGTGCTCAAAAGTTCGATCCATAAGCCAAGTTTAATATTTCTAAAGCTGGTGGAGGAAGCGGTGGAGGAGGGAGGTGCGATTTGGTGCTCAGTAAAATGTAACTTGTTTGATAAGAATTCTCCTGGCCTTTTTAAAAGGGTTGACATGATCTGTATTTGATTTTAATATTACAAATTGATTGAGAACTGGGAACTGAGTTTTATGTGATGCAGATAATCCAAAACAAGAAGAGGTGCTTTGGCTATGCTGACCAGGGTCAGAAGCAGCGTATAAAGAAAAGCAAAGCCAAATAGCTTAGAAGAGCTATACTCATGTGGACTGTTATCTTTGTTTTGATGTAAAAGCTTTATCTTTGTTATGGTATAAAAACTGGCAGTCTCATTTACTACGTAGTCTGTGTTTCAGACTTGCAAGTGGCTCTTGCTCCCAAATAGGATCAAACCTCAGCCCAAACAAAATCAAAACAGCAGCAGCCTGCAAGGATTGTACATCCTGTACATTGTTACTTCCCGCTGTCTAGAGGCGCCATAGGAAGTGAGAACAATCTGTGACTTTCTCTCTCAATTTCACTTAGTACAGTTTTTCATATTCCTTGTTAAGTCAAGAGAACTGAAAGAGCTAAGCACCAAAGCTATGATAGCAAGACAGCCTGTCTCTGCTGTTTTGGTTGCATGTATTTATTTTGGGCTATTTTGCATGATGTTACACCTTTTATAATCAGGTTGTTGGCACTACTGTTACTGACACTTCTGTTTGTGTTTAGATCCAAATCCTGATGTGAAATGAGTACAGACTTCCAGAGACTCCTTTTTGACATTTCTGAGGCTTTGGTCACAGATGAACTGGTGTCTCTGAAGTTCCTCAGCCTGGACTACATAGCCGCGAGGAAGCTGGAAGCCATCCAGGAGCCCAAGGCCTTCTTTGAGGCACGTTCCTCAGCCTGGAGCATGTCCCCATGAGGAAGCTGGAAGCCATCCAGAAGGCGCAGGACTTCTTCGAGGCGCTGCAGGAGAAAGGCATGATCGAGGCAGGGAACCTGTCCTTCCTGAAGGAGCTGCTCTACCGCATCGGTCGGATCGACCTCCTGGAAGCCCAGCTGGGCTCCAGCCGAAAAGAGATGGAGAGGGAGCTTCAGATCCCAGGCAGGGCACAAGTGTCGGCCTACAGGTAAGCACAGAAGTAGTAAACCTTTGCATGCAAAATATACAACAGTTCTGTTGTGTACTGTCTTGTTTTCCGTCTGCACTGTTGTCTTATGAATATCCCAGCATAACTGTGTTTATTACAGCGTGACTACCTGCCACTGTGAGTTTTACATTTCGCAGTTAAAATGTGTAATTGTGGTGTTTACTTCTCATAACTTTCTTAATCAGGCTTTCTCTGTTCTTTATTGCCAGGCAACTGCTATATGGAATTACAGAGGACTTGACTCCAGATGATGTTAAACGTGTGAAGTTCCTGCTCCAAAAGCAAATACCAAAGAACAAGCTTCAGGATAATGCTGTACGCAAAGTGATCTTGATAAGTTTCTTGCAAGGCTAATTCAGAGTCTGCTAGTGCTTGTGAGAAGGGAGGAAAGAGAAAGCAGTCTGCTCTCACTAAAATCTGTTGTTGAAAGAACTGTGATGTTAGCTGATAGCTGCTGTGTGAAAGAATGGACTTTTTTTTCTCATTGCATCTTTTCTCTGCCCTTTTTTGCTCTCCTGTTCCTATTGTCCCTCCACCACCTGTCTCCCTAATCTTTTCTTCTTGCAAAATCCATCATGCTCTTCCTTTCATCTTTGCTTGGCACTTATAAAGGCATTTGAACATATGCTGTATCTAGGAAGAGTGATGTTTGCTGGAAGAAAAAACCATGTTTTGGAGACAGTTCTAATGTGTATTCAATCACAAATTGTCTGTGTGTCATTGGCTACATTTTCTTCTTTATTGTAATCTGGGGTAACAGCGTTTTGTTAACTCCTCCACAAAAGTATTTAGAGGTTTGATAAGCTAGTTTAAGACTTGTATTGTAAATAATGAACCATGTTATAAAAATGCCTGGTATTATTAAGAAGCTTCCTTAAAAGCCCTATTTGTGTTCTGGCACCTGTAGGAAAACTAGGAGATTTACCTCCAACTTGGTGGACTATTGAGCTTTAAAAAACAAAATTAGCCCTGAACACCTCTTCTGTAACAGAAAATCTAAAATAGCACAGCCAAATGACTTAATAGCACTTCATCTGAACACAGAGGCCCAACAGGATGCCATGGTGTTATCCACATCAGTGCTTTGCACTGCTGAAACAAAGCAGAATAACCTAGACATAGGCAATTTCTAATGATCCTCTCTTAACCGTAATGATGTGTTTCTTCAGTTGCATTGCATCCTGACCCTTGTTTTAATGAGGTTTGGAAGAAAAAAAAATTGGTCTTCAGCTGGTCAGTCTCTGGGAGTGAGGAAGGTGTCTTCTGCTCTGACCAGAAGTGCCTGATACTGCAGTTATTGAAGGTCACTGTATGAGTTTGGGTTATGTGTTTTTGTTTTACCAGTCAATGTTGAAGGTGTTACTGGAAATGGAAAGAAATGGGATAATCAAAGAAGATGACGTAACAGTGCTGAAAGATATATTAAAGGGATTTAGAACTGATGTAAAGAAAAAAATCGATGCCTATGAAGAAAAAACAAAAGGTAAATTATTTAATCTGCTGTTTAAGAGTAGAGATTTTTTTTTTGTGATTTTTATGCCTCTGTCCTTGGCAGCTCAGGAGTCCAGAGATGAGAGACGTTACAGTAACCTAGGATAGGCAGAGCAGCTCTTGATACCTGTGGTTTCTGAAGTTCCCTGCTACTTCACTATCCCATCATATCTTCTTGTATTTCTCCTTGAAGTATGTTCTGTGTCTTGTAAACAGTCTGCTTCTCCCTCCTCTTTGCCCTAAATGCAATTTTTCTCTTCAGGAAATAGTGCAGTGCTGGTTTTGGACCAGGATAGCTTTTCAGTCACTGAAAGAGACTGGAGGTGACAGGTGCCTTGGGAAAACTTGTATTGGCAGATTGTCAGCATTATTTTCTGATAGCCAGGTTGTCTGCTTTTAGTCAAAGGAAGAGTCCCTGGAGACCAGGTGCTTGGTTAAAGCATAACCACAGCTTTTTGTACCAGATGTGAAATTTTAAGGACTCCAGTATATCTGCACTTTTGCAGCAGAGGTGGTGACTTGTGACACCTCAGCTGGGCCTTACTCTTTAGGAAACAGGATGCATCAACCAACAACTGAGACCTATTATATTTTTCCCCAGAACTTACTTTTGGATGACTCAGAATGTGTGTTTCCTTAGACACATCTATACAGCCCATGCAGTTCCCTGCAGAGATACCGACTAGTTTCGCCAGCATGTCTTTGTGCTGTTGACCTGTGCTTGTGTCTTTAAAAGATCAGAAAAAAACTGCCAAGGGTGACTAGTGTAAGCAAGCCCCATGTCAGGGGGAATGGCTTTTTAGGAGTATTGTTATTACTTTATCCTCCTTGAAAAAGAGCACATCTTACCGATCTTGTTGCCTGGACAACTAAATTTCATTTAAACACATCTGTGTAACTTGTAAAAGGGATACTGTGATTTATTTCCTTGAGTAGAATCATGGGTTTGATGATTTCTTCACTTATTTCAGGCAGTTGTATTCAAAGAAGTGTTTTGTTGCTTTGAGGAGATCTTCTGTTATGCTGGTATTCTGCATCATTGGTGTGTCCACCCAAACAGTAAAGTTCTCTGGAGAAGAGACAAAGGCCTCCAAAATAAATGAACTAGTTGTAGTGTACCACTGTGCAAAAATGGGTCTTCTCTTTCACTTATGTATCCCATAGTAGAGATGCTAGTGAATGGCTTGCCTGGGGTGACTACTCACATTCAACCTTTTATTATCTGGATCTTGCTACCAGTAAAAGATCAGAGAAGAAACGGAGCACAGCTCTGCACAGCTTCAATAACCAGCAGTCTGTGAAACTGGAGCCCTTTTTGGCTCAGCTCTACAAAATGATGGTGTCTCAGCGATGTGGAAACCTTCCTCCACCTCACTCCTTGCACTGTTTTTTTGAGTCTTGAAATATGTACAATGGAAGAATTATCTTTTTAGTCCTAAGTGTTCTGTTTATCTTCTCCCTCTTAGAAAATGATTCCAAGGAAAAACTCCACTATCCAGTGCCTGTGCCTGTTGTCCATCCAGCAGAACAAGGAGCAGAGGGAGAGACACCACAGCTGGTGAGAAATACCTTGAGATTACCTTTAAAGTTTTTATCCAGCTCCTAGGAGCAGGGAGCATAAATTCTTAAGACTAAGCAGGTGGAAGAGCTGAAAGGGAGGGGTTCTGGCTTTATACATAGGCCTTAGAAAAATTCCTATCTTCAAAACAGGACCAAGCCTTGTTCCTTTTTGAGGACCCGGCTGTCAGCAGCTTTTTAGGCAAGAAATGAAGGAGTAGCTATTGCATGAAGAAAACCAATCTTAACGATAATGGAGACTGGGACATTAAAGTCCTGGCCAGGATGCTCCTGGACAGATGGGAGAACAACAGAATCTGCTACCTCACTAGAAACTCACAAGGACTCTCAGAAGGAATGGTGGGGTGCAGGAACTTTTCCTCTGCACATGTAAATTTGTGTTTCCGGATAGTCACTTTCTCCCATGCCAAAATCATATCCTAACCACAGAGAGATAGGAGGAGAGATTCAGGGAGACAGAGCAGATTCCTGTCCCCTGTAGCTAGCTTGTATTCTTAGGCTTTTCCTTTATTGTGTCTTGGCCCTCATGATTTTTTTGCTCTTGGACATGAAGGACCAACAATCTGTGTATAGCATATTTATCTTTTGGATGCTTGGCACCTCTTTCTTACCTGTTTTCTTTGCTTCTACAGCTTGTGGAAGCATATAAAATGAAAAATAATCCCCATGGTTACTGTGTGATTCTTAACAACTATGCTTTTAAAAATCCACGTGAAGACAGAGAAGGAACAGTGAAAGATGGAGGTAAGTACTTTTTTAATCCAATTACTGGTTTGGTTTTTTTGCTGATAATTCTCTCAAAGAATTGTCTGATCTTTCCTGTGAAAAAGAATCATGTCCACTGAGCTCCTTTGCCTCCAGAGTAACTGGAATGACAGTCACTGTAGAAATGGGAAATATGCCACTTCCAACAGTTTAGCTGATGGCTTAAAGAAGGAACCACTTCCTGTTCTAGGTAAAAAGCATCGTCTTAGTTGGTCAAATGTACCAGATGTTGAAGGAGGGATTACTATTCCACCTTTTCTCTTTTTGATTGTTTTTAATTCAGTTAATCACGGAGTAAAATTTTTAAGTCCTTAAATTCTATTTAATGCTCAAATAAATGCTACTGCGTTATAATTTTCCTTAAAGCCTGTTTTCCTGCAAGAGTGACTTTTAAAATAGACAAGATTTTTATGTTAAAAAAGTAAAATCTATGTCATGAAAGCACACATCACTGATATTTTAACTCCATCCAGCCTGTTTACAGGCTGCTTGCTTCCCAGCTACTTTCTTACCACCCATGCAACAATTAAGTCAATATTTGCTGAGAAGTCTGCATAGCATTTGTTAGTGGGTTACTCTGCCTTCCTTCTTGTTGCATTGATCATTCTCACAGACCTACCTACTTCATTTAAGAGTGGCAGCATTTGTCATTCTGAAGAGGTACCTCTTCTTTAACTTGCTAAGTGGTGTTCTTAAGCACCTGAGATTACTATGCAATGCACAGTTAAAGCTTGCTTTAACACAGTAAGCTTCACTAATCTGTACCTATTAATCAAATAATCTGAAACCTGTTTTTGTTTTAGATGGTGTGATGCTTAACCCAGTTGTGTTTAAAAAAAATAAAATTAGGCATTTGGGTTTTTCTAATTAGATTTGGCAGGCTGAGTCAGTCAGGTGAGTTTATTGGTGGGATCTGAACACTTCCGCTAATATCTGTTCTACCACACATAAATTTATGTTTCAGCATCTTCCTTGTCACTGTTTATGTTTAACAAGTGCCTTCCGACTTTTTTTCCTAGAGGCTGTGAAGGGGGTCTTTGAGTGGCTTCAGTTTGAGACAGTTGAGCACATGGATCTAGAAGCAAACCAAATATATGCGAAAGTTAAAGAATACAGTAAAAAAGATCATAGTAACATGGACTGTT